TTCCAAAGATGCAGACACACGAGCTCCTGGATCGCGTTATCCGTTGAGTGTATCGAGCGGCCGATGGGGATCGGTTGAATATGCTGAGGAGTTTTTGATCGAGAGAGGCGTCAATTGCTTGAACCTTGCATTGTTCAAGCTGTGTTGTTTGCAAGAAGCTGGCGTTGGAAGCTGCGAGGGCTGCCGCCGAAGGCCCCTTAAACAAAACACCGTTACGGTGCCTTCAGCACAAAGTTTGGTCGGTACGGTTTAGGGTTTAGGGTTTAGGGTTTAGGTGCTTCAACATCCCTTAGTTGTCACCCTAATCCCCAAACCTTGCATGGCTTAGGCTTTTGCTTCGTAGTGTGATACTGAACAGGGGGTGTCAGTGACGCTGTGGTCGAGTTGCCAGAAGAAAACCAGGTTAACCAACCAATCATCTTGGTAGGCCTTTGGGACATTTCATGTTTTCCTTTATTGGGCTGAAGAGGATCTTATTTACGAATATTTTTGAGAGGCTTTGAGGGGCCAACCTAGGCATGGCAAGGCTAAGGCCATATAGCCAGAACACAGAGAGATTAATCACTCAGCTCTTCCGGTTGGAAGGGCCGCGATGCAGCTGCAGTGCATAAGTTGGAAGCAAGGAGCAAGGTTGCTTCTGGGCCCAACTATAAGCAGGGAGGTCGTGTCGTTTCAGTGTTGCAGAAATCACCATAGCGTATGAAGGGGTTGTGTTCAGGGTGTAGGGCTTAAGATTTCGGTTTAGGGTTTAGGGCTTAAGATTTGAGTTTATGGTTAGGGTTTAGGGGTCTTTAGGTTGTATAGGTTTAGGGCTTCGAAGTTTGAAGGGCCGTGCGGGGCAACACGCAGGTGGCCTCAGCACAGGGGCGTGCCCAGCTCCACGTCACGCCCGAGCCTCAGATGCATAGCATGCATGCATGCAGGCATGTGGCCGTGTATGCTTGTATGTATGTAAGAATTTGCATATGCATGTGTATATGTATATGTATATGTATATGTATATGTATATGTATATGTATATGTATATGTGTACGTGTATATATATATATATATCTCATATATATATATATATGTATGCATACATACATACATACATACATACATACATACATAGTACATTGTTACGGTAGTACGGCAGTCGTCGAGCGTGTCCTGGCGCCGTGCATCGGGCGTCGGGTTGACTAGAGGTACAACCGACTCACCAAGTCCCTTGACATTTCGCTGCAATATAGTGTCTTAACAAGTAGAATAAGTTTTAGGGTTTAGGTTTAGGGTAGGGTTGCGTAGCGAAGCCCCCCAGAAGGAACACGACTCAGCAACAAACTACACGTAACGGCCAAGAAACTTAACAACCATCACCAGCTCAGCCTCAGTCGCCTTCACCATCGTCATCGTCATCATCATCATCATCATCATCATCATCATCACCGTCATCGCCGTCGCTGGCATCACAATTATAATTGTAGTATAATATACTCCCCCAAAGCCCTAGTCTAATTATTCAGGCCCCTACCCAGACCCCTGGAAGGATCTAGAAAGTAGAACCCCTAACTTGGGACCCTATACTGCTAAAGGGTCTTTATAGGAACCCCCCCTTAAGGAATCTACTTTTTGGATCCTCCCGGGGGGTTTGGGTAAGGGATCTACTCCCAAAGCCCTATAACCCCCTTATAAATCCCCTATAATCCCTAGAGATCCCTTTATAGTTGTAGCATAATATACCCCCCAAAACCCTACTCTAATTATTAAGGCCCATAAACCCTAAACCCCTAAACCCCTATGTTACGGAAACCTTTTAAGGAGCCCTTTGTCGTCGTCCAGTCGCCAGGTCGAAGCGGTCGCTTCCATCGAGTTTGGGCGTCGTGGCCTCCGTGACCCAGAGCTTCGGGCTTAGGGGTTTCAGGGGTTTGGGTTTGGGTTTAGGGTTTAGGCTTTGGGGGTGTAGGGTTTAGGGGTTTTGGGGTTCAGGGTTTAGGGATCAGTAGTTTATGGTTTTTAGGGGTTTCAGGGGTTTGGGGTTCAAGGTTCAAAGTTTTCGGGGGTATGGGGGCCTTTATGGATTAGGGCTTAGGGTTTTTCGGGGCTTAAGGGGGGCTTCTACTTGGAGGTTCATGTGTGGTTATAAGTAAGGTTTTAAGTAGGGTGACGAGAGTTGTAACCTATATTAGGGGACTTATAACTCCACTTAAAACTACCCATGAACCTCCAAGAAGGGTTTGAGGATTGTTTAGGGCGTGGTACAGGGTTTCAGGGTCCCAGACCCCCGGCAGGATCTAGAAAGTAGAACCCTAATTTGGGACCCTATACTACTAAAGGGTACTCTACAGGAACGCCCCTGAAGGGATCTACTTTTTGGATCCTCCCGGTGGTCTGGGGTGTAGGGGGTTTTCGGAGTGAAAGGTTTTAACATCTTTCAGGGGTTCGGCACGTTGGGGTTTGGGGTACCGAGAGACTCCCAAACCCCTTAATTAAGGAATAGACCTTAAATTATAATAGGATCCCTAATATGATTCAAGGTATATTCCTTAATTAAGGGGTTTTGAAGTCTCTGGGTAGGAGGGTATATTCTCTAAATATTGAACTAAGCGCTTTTATAGGACAGCTAGCGACGACCCCACGTGGGTGGTTGTCTAGATGAAGGGTACCTGTTTCAGGGTACTATGAACCAAGGATCCTGCTACTCAGGTTCAAGGTTTAAGATTCAAGTCCCTTGTTTTGTGAAACTCCCATGTATTTATATACGTGGTCCATGAATAATGTGTTAAATGTTAGGCCGAAAAAGAACCCTTCCGACCGCAGTTACACAACTTCCAACCGCGAGTATGCTTGACATAATTGGCTTCTAAGCCGTCTGGTCGTCCAGCATTGCGCAGGGGACCCTGACCCCCGAGAGGATCCAAAAAGTGGATCCCCTAATTTGCTAAAGGGTACTTATAGGAACCCCCTTAAGGGATCTACTTTTTGGATCCTTCCTGGGGTCTGGGTACTCAAAAATGCCAGCAACCCTTCACAAAGAGTCTGCCACGTGCCAGGTCGCCCTTTTCCTGCTGCTCACGGAACATGCAGCTCCCAGAGACTCCAAAACCCCTTAATTGAGGAATATACCTTAAATCATATTAGGGATCCTATTATAATTTAAGGTATACTCCCTAATTAAGGGGTTTTGGAGTCTCTAGGCTGTCTCCGTATTAGCAAAGGCGCCTTAAGACTTGGAGCTGAGGTGGTGGAGTTCATCACACTGTCATAACATGGGAACTACATCAAGTTTCTACTATTGTCCGATCATTCCGACATTTTTCAACAAGGCTCTTCTGATCGGGCCTCAAAAGATGAAGCGTTCGCACTTCCTGCGCTTCGGACTCTCAACCTCTGGTTCCTTTCTCACACCCATGAGCTGGCGCACAGCCACGGGGACGTGTTTTCGCTTCAAAAAAGCCTGGACTTCTTTGCTTTCTGCAGCAAACTTCTTGCATGCCTTTAGGAGCATCTCTAGCTCTTTGAGGGCTGCAGCATTTGCAATGGAGACGAAGTTCTGGACTGTCATCTTCTTGCACAGGGCCTCTTCAAGCATGCACACTGCATCCTTGACCTGCCAACGGTGAGCGAGGTCCAACGCCACTAGCATGGTGTTGCAGTCTGGGCGACTCTGCGTCGCACCTGTGTAGACCATGTCCACGAACAAGGACACTCCACTTTCGGAAGCATCTCTGACGGGGATCCTCTTCGTGATGCCCTCCTGCATTGGCGATTTCAGCATGACTTTCAGCACAGGTGAGGCTGCAATGAGAACGACGTCGTGTGCTGTCACCTCACCATCTGCAGTCTCGAAAACCACATTCTGACTAGATTTCATGCTTAAGATAGACTCCCACCGTTCCAGGATGCTTGCATCGACCGTGACTTTCTCTCGCTCCTGCTGCCACAAAGTTGTAAGCAAGTCTACGACTTTGTCAAGAAACGTGCACATCTTGGGCGATTTGAAAGGCATTTTGCACAAAGCTTCGTGAATAGCGGTGGTGATTGAAATCGCATTTGTACCGAAGGGCTCTACCTGTACGCGGAAGCCATCTTCGTTCCTAAAATCCCAGCACTTCGCACCCGTAACTGGCTTTTGCTCTGGATTTGCGCCCTGCTCCAAGAGCCACTTGATAATCAGGAGCTGCTTCTCGTGCCTGTCTTCATCGTGGACTAGGCCTCCTTCAATGGCTGCGTGAAGGACCGGCAAGCGAGATGGTGATGGTGAAGAAGAGGACCAATCGAAACCAGCTTTGGTGACTCGCTGCAATGCCGCGACATCACCCTTTCTTATCAGGGCGAAGACAGTGTCCACCGACATCCGCAACCGCAACCGCGAAACCTATGCGCGACCCTCTGCTCTGCAATGAGCTGTGGCTTTTCGCCAGAACTCTATGTGCGTCACTTCCTCTATGGCGCTACGGTCTACTGGCTAGAGGTCAGGGTTTCGGGGTCAGGGTGCCCTAAACCCTGAACCCTAACCTCTAAACCGTACTGTGGAGCTCTCAGGAATAGCTCCCCGTGCTCAAGCATGAATGCAATCAGGATCTGCTATGGTCCCAGGGCTTACCGTTCGCGGCATTCCAGGTGCATGGGTTAGGGGTAAGCATGCACAGAGTTTGGGGTCGTAGGGGTTCATAGAGATGTAACTTAGCAGATTGTGTTTAACAGAAAATATTGAGACAGAATACTTGAAGAAGACAAAGCATATGCCTGGATCTGAAGGGCGGAACCTTTCTAATTCGGGCCTTCTCGCACGTCACACCTTCATGGGATGTAGGGGACGACTCTCAGAAACAAACAGCCTTGTTGCGGCACAGTGTTTGGGGCTTAGGGGTTTAGGGTTCAAGATGCATTCTGAATCGCTGAATCTGCGATCCCTACGACCTTTGCCACGCCCAGCTCATGCTGCTCGCATCACGTTGTGAGGAGTGGCATAGAAAGTCACGGTAAGCTTTTGTGAATCCCCCAAACTAGACTTTGAAGTAACCAGGGAGAAAAATTATAGACTTTTATTTCATAATGGCTCTCTTAAGTAACAGGTCCCCAAAACAAGTATTCAAGTATGGTACTCCAGAACCCAGCAAACCCTTGACCCTAAACCCGCCCTGCTGTGTGGAAATTCTGAAGCGGCCTAGCAGTCTTGTGAAAAGCTCGGGTACTACGTGACACTTCGCTGAAGTTTTCAGCCCCAGACCCGCACCCCTGAGTTTGCGGAAATCTACTGTAGGGGCCTTAATAACTAGAATAGGGTTTTGGGGCCCTTTATACCACACTTGTTTAAGGTTTAGGGTCTAGGGTCTTCAGATCTACACCTTCAAGCTTCAGCCCTAGTAAACTTTTGAGAACCCATTCTAGCCCGACAAAACCCTCCACCCTTATCTAAGATTAGAAGTATGGGCCCCTAATGTGGACCCTGAGGCCTTTCTAGGGACACTTACGGGTACATATAGGATATACAGTAGGTGTATAAGGATCCCAGGGTTAAGTGCCTATACTAGGGCCCATGGTTCAACCTTAGGCCCTAGAACCCAGTTACACCCTATCGAAGCCTTTAAAGTACCCTAAACCTCAAACCCCAAAGCCCTGTATACCCCTAAAAACCCCGAAACTACTGATCCCTACTTGAAGGTTCATGGGACTTAGTAACCAGTCTTATAAATAAGATAACTATACTTATAATTCCTCATAGCCCCAATTAGGGTACTTATAACTGTACTTTTTAGGTCCCATGAACATTTAAGTAACCCCCTAAAAACCCTAAACCCTAAACGCCCTTAACCCTAAACCTTAAACCCCAAACTTGTAAACCCCTAAAATCCCTAAACTACTAATCCCTAAAGGCACTCCCCCAAGGACCCGGAGACCCTGGCCTCAAGGACCACCACGCGCTTGCCGTGCTTGGAAGCAAGCTGAAAGGCAGCTCCCAGGCCTTTGGTGGAGATTCAGGGTTTAGGGCTTTCGGAGTTTAGTTAGGGTTTAGGGGTTTAGGGTTTAGGGTTTAGGGGTTTAGGGTTTAGCATTTAGGGGTTTAGTTAGGGTTTAGGGTTTAGGGGTTTAGGGTTTAGCATTTAGGGTTTATGGGTTTTAGGGGTTTAGGGTTTAGGGGTTTCTGGTTCAGGCCTTGCGCCCTGAAGACACATAAGGCTTTAGAGGTCTCTAGCCGGCTGCTTTATTCTGAATAATATAGGGGCCTTAATACGAGTAATTAGAATAGACTTTTTGGGGCCCATTATGCTACCCTTATAATAAGGAGCCCCGAGGGTAGTATTGGTAATTCTTTAGGCCCCTGCATTAATTGCTTTGTATGGTTTTGCCGGGCTCTTGAACGGGATTACTGAGGGAGGTTTAGGGTCGTCGCTTCCTTTAAGGAGATACTAGAACCCAGACCCCCGACAGGATCCAAAAAGTAGATCCCTTAAAAGGGGTTCTTATAAAGACCCTTTAGTAGTATAGGAGGTTCATGGGACTTAATAGGTACAGTTGTAAGTACCATCATTGGGGTTATAAATATAGTTACCTTATTTATAACCCTAATTACTAAGTCCCATGAGCCCTTAAGTAGAAGGGGTCCCTTAAAGCGTTCTAAGCGATGCTTCTGAGCGACCTAGACACAGAGGTCTTGTTCCTTAATCACAAGCAACATCAAGCCTACACGGCGCCACACTGGCAGGGGCTGTCACCAATTACTCTTGCAGCCTGTCCGAAACCCGTGGAAGCCGCTGAACCCAGCGAGCCAACAGCCAAAGCATCTGTAATGAGAGGTCCTTCACTACCCTAACCCTGAACCCTAAACCCTAAACCCAAAACTCAAAAACCCTAAACCCTAAACCGGGCAAACGTGCAGCCCTGTGAATGGATCTTTGTAACTTTTATAAACACAACATGCATAAACCCTCTGCTCGAAATCCGAATTGCGAACCCGACACTCCAAGCCTCAAAAGCCCTCGGCCCTCATCTTTAGCTAACACTTCGCCCCCAACAGCAAGACCAGCCGCATATTTCCCCGGCCCTCAATAACTCGAATAGAGTTTTGTGTCATAGTATACCATAGTTTTAATGAGGAACCACCCAAAAATATTGAAATTCTTAAGGCTCCTGTACTAAACCCTAAACCCTACACCCCTAGCCGCCTGCGAGGCCACCGCCCACAATGAGGACATCTGCCTCCTCTACCATGGCGTTCCGAGGCAAAAGCAGGGAATCCTAAATCCTGCCTCTAACTTTATCTGGGCTTTGAAGTAACCCGGGAGAAAAAAGTATAGACTTTTATTCTATAATGGTTCCTTTAAGGAACAGGTCCCAAAAAAAAGTATTAAAGTATGGTACTCCAAAGCCCAGTTATACACCTAGGCAGCACCTCTTTTGTCAGGTGTCTACCCGAGAATCTCCAGCAAAAGCTCGAGCGAAGCGGGCGCAGCGAGAGAATTCAGGGTTTAGGGTTCGGGTTCGGGGTTCTGCTGGGTTCTTGTCAAGGGATTCAATTTAAGTTACAATGATTAAGAAACCGTGTCACTTACAAAAAATACCTATTATGGTAACTCAAATTTCCGAAAATAGGGGGCCCTAATATAGTACCCTGAATAGTAGGATCCTTATTATAAGGACCCCCAAAGTAGGGTACCCTTTATTTTCGGAAACTGCTAAATAGGAACCCTTAACAAACCCTAAACCCTAAACCCTAAACCCTAAACCCACCAGAGTAAGGTTTGGGAGGGTTTCATAAGGGTCGTTTTGCGGAATACTTTCAAGAGCTCTATACTTGGAGGGTCGGGAGACGTAGTAAGTAGAGAACAGGTAGACGGGGTTATAATACTTCTGAGTCTCCAACATAACTACTTACTATATCCTCCGACCCTCGAAGACAGGGTTCCTGTGAGGATCCTTTAACGGGCTCTATACCCTAAACCCTAAACCCTAAACCCTAAACCCTACGGGTCTCAGTTTTGGGGAGGATCTGTTACGGCGCTGCTCATGCGACAAGACTTTGGGCTCAGGGTCTTCCAGGCATTGAGGCACCCTAAACCCTGAACTCTCAAACCGAAGCCCTAAGCCCTGAAACCCAAACCCCTAAACCCTTACACCCTAAACCCTTAAGCTCTAAACCGTCTTCTCTTCAAGTAGGGGCCTTAATAATTAGAATAGGGTTTTGGGGCCCTGTATGCTATATTTATAATAAAGACCACCCCCAACATAGTGTAGGTAATCATTCAAGCTTTTGTTTTTTACATTCAATCCCCGGAGAAAGCCCTGAACACGAAGCTCCAAAAACCCTAAACCCTAAACCCTAAACCCTAAATCCTAAACCCTAAACCCTAAACCCTAAACCCTAAACCCTAAACCCTAAACCCTAAACCGGAGGAAGCCTTGAAGGAACCTCGAGAGCCGTAAAAGCAGCCTTCAAGGAAGCCTGCAAGCCCTAAGTAGGGCTTCGGGTTGAATGTTTTTTAGGGTTTGGAGCTTGGGAAACCCTAAGGTTGAGGGTTTAGGATTTAAGGTTCAGGGTTTAGGATTTAGGGTTTAGGGCCCTAAGCCCAAAGCCCTAAACGGAACACACGAACACTTCATCACTCGTGGGCCTCCAGATGAAGACCTCAGCTGTTCCATTCCAGGCTCTTTCTTCATGGGGTTTAGGGCTTTTGAGCTGCGGGCTGAGGGCTCAGAGTTTAGGGTTGAGTGGTTTAGGTTTGTGCTTGGGGGTTAAGGGGGTATAGGGTGTAGGGATGTGTAGGGTTTAAGGGTTTAAGGTTTAGGGTGCTGTGCATAGGGGGTTTAGGGATGTCCCGTGCTCGAAACTCAGAAACCAGGATTCGAGTACTTTACGGCTTCGTGTACACTTTTCAGGTTAGGACGTGTATAGATCCATTTGAGATTCCGGCTTTGGGGACGTTTCGAAGGGATTGAAACACAAATTCGAAAGTTGGTTTTCGTTCAGGGGGCTTTTCGAAAAAACCTTTGGAAGAGCCGCAGCAATGCCTGGACCCGCTGCGTGATACCTACTTTGAGGTTCGCGGGCTCAGGGTTTGGGGTTTAAGGTTGTGGGTTTTACGTTTCGATTAATAAAGGACTTAGTAAGGATATATGTACTTTGATTGGGATTCTACGTAGCTATATGTAAGTATAAGCACCTCGTTTGTAACCCTAGTTACTATAAGTCCCATGATCCTTTAAGTGCACCCCAACTTTCATCCTTGCAAAACTCATTGAACCCCGCAGGCAGCCTCGGTGTAAACGTGTCTAGGCTCCGTGACTGCTTGAACCCCCTAAGCCCCGAAACCCTAAACCCTAAACCCTAAACCCTAAACCCTGCACCCTAAACCC